CTCCTCGCACATTTCATTATAATATTTTGCTTTGTCGTTCCGTGCTGCCTTTTGGAATCTTCTGTTCAGCTCTTTAGTGTCTTGAATTCTTCCTTGTGCTTTGGCTTCTCTACGTTCCAGTGCAATCTTCAGAGTTTCTTCTGACATCCATTTTGGTCTTTTTTTCCTCTTCTGTCTTTGTAATGACCTTTTGCACTCTTCCTTAACATTCTCCCGCAACTCATCTGGTCTTCCCTCGTTAGTGTTCAAGGCCTCAAACCTGTTCCTGAGATGATTCTGAAATTCAGGTGGGATGAAATTAAAGTCATATTTTGGCTCCTGTGGATTCAGTTTAATTTTCCTCAGCTTCAGCTTGAACTTGCATATGAGTAGTTGGGGTCTGTTCCACAATCAGCTCCTGGCCTAGTTTTCACAGCTGATATTGAGCTTCTCCAGTGCTTTTTTCCACAGATGTAGTCGATCTGATTCCTATGCATACCATCAGGTGAAATCCATGTGTATAACCTGCGTTTATGTCTCTTAAAAAACATATTTGCAATGAACAAGTCATTGATTGTGCAAAATTCAATCCTTCTATCTCCAGCTTCATTTCTGTCACCAAGTCCATGTTTACCAACTACTGATTCTTCTTCCCTGTTCCCAACTTTTGTGTTCCAGTCGCCCATTGTTATCAATGCATCTTGACTGAATGTTCCATCTATCTCTGACTGTAAGAGTTGATAGGAATCATCTATTTCTTCTTCTTTGGCTCTGGTTGTTGGTGCATATATCTGAATGATAGTGGTGTTCACTGGACTTTCCCTTAGGGCACACATTTCCCTGGTCTGTCCTTCTGCCTGTTTCTCTCTCTGCAGACCAAGGAATCCCACCCTGGGTGACCCCTTGATAAAGCTTCTTTAGCTTAAAAAACAAACAAAAAAAACAAACTTCAGCAAAGTACTTTATTTCTTCATAGAGACATGTATTCATTGTCTTGTCTCTTTCCAGTCAAGAGATTGGATATATAATCTTGAAATTCCTGCAAGAAAGTGTTTGAAAGTTGAAGAAAAATAGAGTGAACCTATTGTTTGACAGTTCAACTAACATACTGTTTTAAAAGGAAAAAAGTTCCCTATGTTCTGGAATTTTCAGATATTCTGATTTATACACACATATACTTATGTACCCACAGCTAACCACCCACACATATACATGTATGTGTATGTGCATATATTAACCACATGCGCATAAGGTCCACATACACATAAAAACACACACACAGTGCCCCATATTATCTTCAGACTCAAATCTTTGTATGTTAGCCACAACATACCACACTTCCTGCTGTGGAATAGATTCTGATTCCCAGTGACCTTCCAGTGAGGGTCCTGAGTTTGTAAATGTTTACAAAGACTACCCATCTTTCTCCTGTGCAGCTGATGGTGGATTTGAACCACAGACCTTATGGTTAGCAGTGTGGGAAGAACCCACTAAGCCACCAGGGCTCCTCTGTATGCGAGAGTCACTTAAAAAACACCTGAGGGGTCTACAGACCTTAATGGGAAGCTGAGAACATCCTATAACTGACCAGTGATGGTCTTGAACAGGGAAACTCATATGCATATAGTGGAATTCTGCTCTTGGGAGTCTTCCAGTTTTCTGTAACTCCGCTATTCTAAAAGAGGAAGGTTATTTTTTTTAAAAATCCTCAGACTGAGACCTCAACCTGAGAGGTTTGGGGAAAGGGCTGGAATTCAGGGAAGTGGTGAGAAGAAATGGCCTCTTATCTACATGGGGTTAATGGTCTATTTTAAGCTAAATGCACTCAGTTATTCTTTGTACAGTTTTTAAAAAATACATATTTCATAAAGGAAAAAACCCACTGGCTTCCTTCTTCCTGATGGGAGGCGGATCCGTCTAACTTCGTCTTCTAAATCAGATTCTCAGCAGCAAAGGACACCCTGTGCACCGGGGCCGCATACCCCTCGGGCTGCGGGGGTTGCGGCTGGACACCCGGTTGGTGACCCCCTGCTCATAGCGCCCCCCCACCCTGTCCCAGGTGCACATTGAGAGTGCGCTCCTCGGTGGGTACTCAGGCTGGTGGGCTCACCCAGGGCCACGCACCTCCCTGCGCCCCTGGAGACTTCTTTCCATGAAGGGCTCCGTGGATCCCCCTTGAACGTGTGCGGGGTGTCCACCCAAGAGCCCCTTCCCCAGGGTCCCATCTCCGATCTCCGAGGGTTTGGCCTGAGGGCCGTGGGAAAGTGCCCCTCTGTCCAGAAAGGGGACCAGGGCGAGGGGCTCCACGTCCCCCCACCCAATCTCTGCACCCTCCGGGCCAGGGTCGAGCCCGCAGGGCCAGGGTCCGGGGACTCACCGCGAGCGCCGACGGGTCAGGACCAGCAGCAGCAGCAGCGCTAGCAGAAGGCCGAGCAGCGCGGCCCAGGGCATGGCCGGTGGTGCGGATGGCGCCCGCAGTGCAGAGCGATGAACCGGGCAGTGAGAGGCCGAGCA